TCACAATCCCAGCCCACCAAGGTTGATTCTTTAGGTAGAGTCTTCGAATGATATAGTAGGCCGCCAGGACGAACCCAACAGTGGCAAGACTGGTGGCAATCTTTCGAATCAAAACGGTTGACTCGGTGGCATTGAGTTCCTGCCATCGAATGGTGGATGGTTCATCCGGCTCTCGTACTTCCAAAGCGTGCTTTCCACGAAACAAGTAGAGTGGATCGATCCCCTCCGTTTTGTTGCGGCGTGCATCCAATGTCCCAATGGACATTTGTTTCAGGACGCGACGTTGCGCCGATTCCGTCTCAAATGTGAGATACACCTGGGTCGTGTCCGGTTCTTGGACCGTTTTGAAAAATGTTCGTATTTCCGTCTCGAGCTCCTCGAGCTTCTTCACCATGAGCGGCACTGGAGATTTGGACGAGCACATGCCGGTCTTTTCTTCTTGGATCCGTTCCACTTCCTTTTTCAAGGTCTCAATGTCGAGGGGGGTGTCGGGTGGCAACGCCATTTCGATTTGTCGTCGGAGGTCCCTCCGTCGGACCAGATACCCAATAATGGCCTCATTGTCCACATCCACCGTGCACACTGTGACCTTGTTGCGAGGACTGCCACTGTTGTTTGGATGATCGGGATCATTGTCGAGTGCTTGTTCAAAGAACGCTTTCCATTCCTCCGGATCCCACGCATCCGGTGGTGGATTCTTGACGATAATGGAATAGTCTTGTGCCGTTTGCTCATCTTCATCAAAGCGAACTTCCATGCGTTCGGTCCGAAAATAGATGTGTGTTGTCCCCAGTATCATAATGAGCAGCGTTCCCCAATTGATCCACCCTTGTTGCGCGGTGGCTCCGTCGCACAGATTCTTGAGGGCGAATCCCACCTCGACAAAATCCGAGTCACCGACACGTGTTTGGGATGGATCGTCCACAAATCCATCCTCGTGCTTTTCGGTAATGGATGGATACAAGTCCAGATAGCAGTCGGAAGGGGTCGAATATCCACACCAGAGAGGTGTGTAACCCAGTTGTTCCGTGACATTGGTGCCATTCAGAATGAATCCATCCTGTTCGTTCAAGATAATACTCCCGTATGCATCCGTTGTGGGAATGGTGGCGTTTCGTAGATTGTCGAGACGAACCACGTTTTGTTCCTCGGTTCGATTGAATACAAGATCCCATGTGAGCCATTCCGATTCAGAGTTGATGTCTTCAATGGAATGATTGGTATCCAGCAATTTCCAATCCAGATAGTCCGTGACATTGAGATAGTATCCCGCGTCGGAGGGCACTGTGACCCACGCCAAGGAGAATCTCTTGATGGGATAGGCCCCTTTATTTTGCTTTTCAAATTCGTCCTTTTGACACGTGGGACAAGGGACCCATTTCCGATCGAGACAAATGGCCGACCCCCGCAATAAACCCGATCCCAGATTTTCATTAGTGGTGGAATCGTAGTCCGTACTGGCAAAGTAGAGTAGATTGGGCAAACTGAGCAGACCACCCAAAAGGGCCAAAATGGCAAAATCCCGTAGTGTCGAAAAGTAGAGCCCAAATCCCAATCCAAAGTCCCCCAATTGACTCAACGGTGTCGTCAAGAGGGGATACAGCTTGGTCCGATAGTGATGCTCTCCCGGTTCGGCAATGGACATTTTGCGATCTGTCGATTGTCGTTTTCCAGACGATCGTGCGGCTTCATCAGTGATATCATTATCATTATCGTCGTTGTCGTCTTGTACAATATACCGTTCCAACGTGACATGCTCAAAGAACGCCCACGCCTTGGCCAACGAGGGAGCATTGGGACCCGACTCCGGACCGTAGAACCCGGGAAACCTTTCATTCAACCACAAGGCCACTCGTCGACCGTACGTCATGTCTTCTGGCGAATCTCGAAACACCAGTGACTGCGCCAAGAACGCCCTGGGCGTTGCCTCGATACCCTCTTCTGTTGGTTGCTCGGTTGGGGTTGCCATGGTTTAGTTAGCTGGTTAGTTAGTTAAATCAGGGAATCTATCTGACCGAGGTATATATATGAGTGCCGCGGTAAGCGCTGAAGGTACGGTGGGAGCTACCAACTACCAATACAGTAGAGGTCTGAGAGGTGAGGAAGTGAGTGAGAAAAAGAACAATCTCGGTGGCACTCATTTATGTCTCCCTCGACCCCCCAAAGCCCAGCGCTTTGGCCCCCTTGTTGGGGCTAAATGTGTCCCCCCTTTACCCCGGAACCAAGACATAGACTACTAGTGGCTAGCTAGTAGCGGTACTGACTGTAAGCACTGGCTAGTCTGGTGTCTGCCCTCACTTTTAAAATAGATAAATTCCCTAGTCTAACCCCCCTTCTTTGCTATTTGGTCCTGGCAAAGTTTCGAATGAAGAATGTGACCAAAATAGGCGAGGTTTCTAGGTGCTGCATGTTCGAGAAGCCAAAGAGGATATGACACGGCTTTCACAGGAGGAATGTTACTCTAGCTACTAGCTTGCTGGGAGAACGCAGCAGTGAAGGACTTCAGCGGACGCCCAAAGCAAACCGCTTCAAATCCCCTTCATCATTGCTGATAAGAACGGTACAAGACCCCCACACTGCCTGCACCGCTGCCAAGCTAATGGAGTTCCTCAGGGAGTGCCCCAGGGTGTGCCCTCGATGGAATAATATGCCGAGCAGCTACTTTAGAAGGACCTATTCCTGAATTTCGCCTTTTTCCTTTACGAAGGCTGGCTTTAGAAGGCTGCTAGCTAGACTAATCATAAGGCTGCCCAGAGGCAGCTGAAGAAAGCGAAATGAAAACAGCAAACTAGGCAGCTTCGAAGGTGGTGCTTGTAGTGGCGGACAATGACCACGCCCACCGGCGAGCTATGCATACTAGTACAGCACTTGCACAGGAGATTGGAGACCGAGCTGTCGGTTGTTCGTTGGTGAGACCTGCCATTTTTGGTCCAGACTGTACGACTGTTCTAGTAGCCAAGAGCAGGCGTACCGTACGGACACAAAAGTACCAGTTAATTGGTACAGTACCGGTAGCCAAGAAGGTCGCGCGACTCCCGGAGAAGTCCAGTCGGGGATACATGACAGACTTGCTTTCTGCTTTCCTCTTCACCTCATCAAGAACCCCCATCACACCACACACTTAGATCGAAGATCGAAGAAGATGACGATGAAAAGGACTTGCTGCTTTTGCCTTGCTCTCTTGCTGCCCGCTACAGTACATGTAGCACAGGCTGTTGGTGGATTCTTCGGTGTTGGAAATGCGACTGAGACTCTGCAGAATGGACAATCCATTGCCTTTGGTGTAGAAGGCAACGATGTCACTGTGGTGTATCAAATACGATACGGCGGGGACCACCCCGGCGAGACTGTGTATGACTTAGAGCCAAGAGAGTTTAGCTGGGTGATTCCTGTTCCCAATAGACCAACCAAAGTGGATGTGGGCTCAGAGCTCCTCTTTCAAGAACTCCACAAAGGAACCAAACCAGAGTTTGTCTTGGATGTACGTAGAGGACCGGATGCGGCCTCCTTTGGCGACACTTTACCCTGCGGCAGCCGCGTGGAGTACACTCCTGAGTGGTGCAATGATGGTGATCCTCGAATTCCGCAATTTTCAGCCAGCAGTTCTCGCAACTCTCCCTTGGTGGAAACTGCGGGGCCGTACGAGTATGTTATTCTGGAGGGAGGGCCGAACGCAGATCCAACCCAGGTCCTTCGATATTTGAGGATCAATGGGTATACCCGATCGGAGGGGGCCGATGCATTGTTGAACTTTTATGCCAAACAGGGCTATGCCTTTATTGTGCTGCGGCTTCGTGGAAGGGATGTTGGGGAAATCCAACCACTTGTTGTGACATACCCCCAAAATGAAGAACCAGAAATGGGGATTTCCATTTCACTGCGGAAACCAGCAGCAACTATTCCATTTCAAATGGCAAGCACCTCCATTGCAACAGATTGGCAATTTCAACCCATTCATGTCTATGCTCTGGGCACTGCTCGTGCCGTACCCTTGAATTTTCTGGAGGTGGAATTGGATGATGCACAGGCAGACTGGCTAGAGACAGGGGCGTGCTTTATTCAGCAGACGCCTCTTGGCAGTTCTGATGTTGACGACTGCTTCTTTAAGGACTATTTGGATAGATTTGAGGAAGCCACCATGGAGTTGGCTAATCATTCCTTTGTCACTGAATATGCTGGCAGCAGTGACTTTGTGGCCAATCAACTTTTCATCAATTTGACGGCAAATGAAATTGAAAATGCTGCATCTTGGGAAGAGTTTTCTGGGTGTTGCCGCCATCGTCTACCAGACACAGAGCTGGTGGAGACAATTTTGTCAAGGTTTGGATACGACAGTCTGTTCAATGACGATCCCCCAGAATGGAATGCCACAGGCTTGGCATGGGAAATTGATGATAGGGTCTTGCAGCCGGCCATTCAAGCGCAAGCATGGGTGGACCAGTTTCCATATCTGACACGAATGTTTGCTCGGTTGAGCACGGAAACATTGTCCAAAGATGCATTCTTCACATTCAACTCTGCACTGCCACCAGTGGACAATGTTCATCAAGCCACTGCTGTGGCCCATTGTGGCGACAATGGGACTGTTGTAATTGTAGTTCCAGATGATCAATCTACTGATGGAAATCCGGCGTGTGGCAGTGGACTGGAACTGGGTTTGTTGTTGAATGAGGTTCAGGACCCGAAGAAATCCAAAGCCATAAAAGTCACTGCTTGGGGATTTGAAATAGATGCCCCCGTTGAGGTGTATCGGTTACTGGATGGTACGTTTGACTATGATGAAGTTGCTGTGGCAATATCCTATGGTGACTCTCTGGTTCCGGATCAGACAATCCCTGAGTACCTGTCCCAGGAGCCAGAATTACTAGAAGAGGCAGCCAGGCCTCTTGCCCAACATCAAGAACAATTAGATGCAGCCATTTCCAAGTCAAGCGCATCCGATGGCTTCAATGTCAAGAAAAACTCGCCCAGTGAACCCATCCTTGCCACGTCCTCTACACCCCACCCCCTGTGTCTTTGTTCGGTATTTGTTGCCGTTGTTGCTTGCTTGGTGGCGAACCTGTAGGTGATGTTGGAGCCGGTGGAAACCAAACAACAATCTCTTGCAAACCCGCGTCTTTCTGGGCAACTCATGCTGACTGGGCCTTGGCGTGTGCATTCAAAAAAGTGCAGGATGTCATTGGTGCATTTTATTGAAAGTTAACAGTAGCAAATGACTTCATCCATCTGATAGTCTCGTCCTGCTCAGACTGAGAACGAACGAGTCGACCTTTTTTCTTGAGCACCACAGCTCTTCCTATGCTCTCACCTACGGTATCAGTTTGCTTATCTGGCAGAAGCCTATAACAAGCTCAAAACGAAGAAGAGGGTGAGAGGGTTCAGCTAGTATTCACCGGGGACAAAAAGAATACCGAATGGCAAAGAGCCACAGCAAGACAGTGAGGCGGAAAGCCAAAGTCCAGCCTGAGACAAAGAGGCTGAAGCCGTAACAACTAAACTGCCGTCGCAGAGATGTTCGATCAGTGCTGCTATCTCCGGGTTTCAAAAGCAACTTACAGGACCTCTAAACTATCAAAGATTCTACTGTGGTTGTCTATCAAAAATACTTTGCGACTGAGTGTATGCTGGGCAGATTTCCTCCGTACACTTGCAATTAGTTAAAATGCCAAACTTGGTTCTCTTTCCTGTGTTGAGCGTAGCACTCCAACCACGTTGCTGCTGTGCTATCTACAGTGGCAAATCATAAACCAATACTGTGGGTGGAGAAGAAATCTTGTTGGGATCCTTGGCAGTTTTCCGTTGCAAATATTGCCGGGCAAACCGTGCTCCGGCTTCAGTAGGACTGGAAAAGGCCACCATGTGCGGTGATACGACAGTTCCATACACCATGCGGGCTCTGGCAGCATCCATCAACCGAGAGGCCACCTTTTGCTTTCGCGCCGTGGAATGGACCCAGATCTTGTGAATGCCCAAAATGGCGTGAGTGGGTGTCTGGGATCGTGCCAACTGTTGCAATGGTTGTGGATTGTCGTCCGTGCTGTCGTCGTCCGTGGCGGGCTGAACCAATGGAAATGCCTGTTTGATCATCTCGACACTCAAAACCCCAACAATATGCTTTTGTCGGATAAACAAGTATACCGTTTTTGGTTTTTCGCCGTCTTGTGATGCAGCGTCGGCTGTTGATTGAGGGGCAAATCCCAATTCCTTATCCACAATGACCATGGCTTGTTTGACCTTTTGACGTTGAGCATAGCTATCGGATGGGCGCACTTCTACAATAAAACCTCCGTCTTTCTTGGTGGTTGCTTTGTCCACAATGCGACAGGATTGTGGGTGGAATGAGACTCCTTCGTGGTAGTCTTTGCAGATTCGTTCGTGCAATTTGATATCCTCCTCGACACCGTGTACATAGAGCATACCACAGGTCTGGCATACAATTTGCTTTCCAAAATCTCGCTGTCCAAAATCCAAATAGAGTTGTTGCTGCTTCTTCTGTTTCTTCTTGGGTTTGGTTGTGGTGTTGATTGATGCTTGACGAGGAGCAATAGAATTAGTGGTACCATTCTGTTGGGGCATTTTGATTCTGGTAGCACCTGGCTGGTCATTGTCGGGAGTTACTGGATCCACTTTCCCGCTGTCCATTTGACACTTGTCGAAGGAAGCTGGAACAGTACCAACCACATCATTGCCGCGCTTGTTGGATTGCCGTCGTGGTGGAGGCACTGCACGGTTCTTTTTTGAGGACCGACAAAAGAATGAGAGAATGGAAGATTGCTGCACCGATGAAGGATTCTCATCATCACCCCAGTCTCTTCGCCTCTTGGAGACTGGTATAGAGAGTTCAAGGTCCATTGGGATGGTTGGTTGGTTGTGTGGTTGGCTGTTGCCTCTACCGGTAGTCTAATACAATGTGCTGTAGTAGCGTACATGTAGCACCGGTGGCTGGTGCCAGGGGTGTGCTGTGATGCGTCTTCTATTCAAAAAGTTCGCGCCAAAATACATGAGAAGGGGGAAGTTTCAACCCTCTCTCTAATGATGCAGCGTTTTGTGAGGTGACGTACCGGTACGGTGCATACTTTACAGTAACTTTTACGGTTTTACCGGTACATGTACCGGTATCGGTACCAACTTGTCCATTCCGGTTGAACTGACCATCTTTTTGCACAGATTTTTTCTCACTCTTCACCACCACCACGTCGATCTCGAATCTTGTTTCTTGTAACCATCGAAAGAAGAAGAGACTCGGAGCAACCAAGACGGTCACAACAAAACCAACCCATCATGATTACCGTTGCTTCTGCTCTCTGCACATCAGTTATCTCCACCGCGGTACTGCTGGTTGTGGCCAGCACTGGCTGGCAATCCTTCAAACCCATTAGCGAAGATTGCCACGAAAACTACCTGACGGAACCCAACTGTTTCTGCGAGAGACCCAGAGGGGAGGAGCCTGGAGATGTTTGGTTTGCTCAGCCAGCAAACACTGCGTCCAACAGTGCTTTTGTGGTGATTGGATTATTGATTGCGCTGTCTTGTGATTTGAAACTGCCAGGCCAATGCTGGGAAAAGGAGAACGGGTTTACATCTTCCCGAGGATACGGAATCTTGCTATCCTGTGTGGTGTGCCTCATGGGTCCTGGAAGTGCGGCACTGCATGCCTCTTTGACAGTGATGGGGCGCCGCGTGGATCAATTCTGTATGTATCTCATTGGAGCCTTCCTGATGCCATACAGTGCTACAAGGAAGCGAAGAAACTTTTCCTTCAAGACCTTCGTCGCTTTGTATGCTGCCATCAATCTTCCACTGCTCATTCTGACAATCCTCTCTCCAAACACGGGTGTCAAGCGGCTCATGTTTACTCTTCTACTAGTGATGACCATTGTCATTGAAGCTTGGCATAAGATATTGGGGCCACTCTACCAAAAACGCATTCTTTGTGAGAGTGGATGTGCTGTCAAGGATACCGCCAATGGTTGGTACATGGTGGCTGCTCTTGGCTGCGTCCTCTTGGCGGTTGCCATTTGGATCCCTTCCAAATCTGGAGGCCCTCTCTGCTTCCCAGATAGTTGGTTCCAGGGGCATGCCGTATGGCACGTCTTGACAGCATGCTCCATTGGATTCATCTTTCTCTATGGCATTTCTGCCGATGAAACTCCGGATCTCCCGTTATTGGGAGAGGTCCCACAAGCGGAGCCGCCATCTGACTTCAAAGAGTGCGATCTTAGCGTCACAGGAAGTACTAGCATTGTGGTGGAAGCATAATGTGATGTGTAATCGGTGGGAAAGTGCGTTCCAACAGTTCTTGCGGTCTTAGCCAAGTGCACCATAGAGAATGTTTTCATTGATTTCATCACTGCCTACCGGTAGCTAGCTAGCTGGCTAGAACTGGAAAACTAGCTGAGGGGATGAAGGGTTTGATTAGTGGACGGCTGGCCCTTCCACGTTCCACGTTCACGGCGAAGTGCTGGAGTGTCATACGGTACGGTACCGTATGTCCTGGATCCGTCGTCGCTCACTTTATTGGCGCTCTTCACTCACACTTACTTTTGTTGCCCCCTTCCCGGACAAAAAAAATCCAAAAGTCAGGGCACTCCAACAGCAAACCTCATCATTAGCATCAGATACTGTAATACTACAACACCACCATGATGCCACATCCAACAGGTGCCTTTATTAGTAGATTGCTCACATTGCTACTTGCTTGTAGTTGTTTCATGACAAACCACCAAGCCTTTGCCCTTCCCTTTGTGCTTGGTGTCCGTGATTCCTTCATGATTGCTCACAGTTTCCATGACAACCCCAAGTTTGGTCCTGCCGGCAAGCTTCACGGAGCCACGTACACCTGCGATGTGGAATTCTCTTCCAAGAAATTGGTATCGGATACCAATTGGGTGATTGATATTGGCAAGGCATTGGACTTGTTGTCGCAGGTGCTGGCCAAGTACAATTTTCAAAACTTGGATGAAGTGTTCCCCGATGGGACCTTGACCACCACGGAATTCATGGCCCAGCAAATTCATTCGGACCTGTGTACCTTATTGAAGGCGGAGTGCAAAGAGTTTCAAGGTGACCTGTGTGTCAAGTTGTGGGAGTCACACAAGGCATGGGCGAGCTATAGTGGTAAGGTATAAGGAGGGCATGGAGCTACTGGGTATTCAGCAATTTCACCTTTTTTAAATTAAAAAGACAAGCTAATAGCGAGTTGCTGAATCCAATCTACATTTACTACCGACGGGCATCACGACATCGTGACACTTGTAGATAGTGATCATCAAAAAGATGCGTCTTATTTGGTGAACCACAGGCATGCGACAGGTCGCACAAACCATTCGTCAGGATGAATCGAATCTTTCGCAGTCCTGAGGCATATGCCATATCTGTCTTCCTCAAATCATAGCCAGAGTGGTGCGACCTTATGCTTTTAAATTTCTTCATTCATTATGGCGTTGCTTATCTTCGATTCTTGGTGATGAGTTTGGCCGTCAATGTCAACAATACTTCACATTGAAACAGCCGTCTCAGCTCGGGTACAGCCGCATCGTGAATGCGCAGTAGATTGGTACCTCCACTTTTTTGCAACAATTGCAAATGCGCCTTGGTGCGCACGAGCAAATCTTGATGAATCACCAAGACGCCGCCAGTACTATCAGTATCATTTCGTACCAACTCACACTGTCGATTGCGTTGTAGAATTTGATGCGGCACTTCGCGATGCAATTGTCGGTAGAGTTTTTCGCGAATAATTTCTTCGACCCGTGCGGCATAATCCATGGGTGTGACCATGTGTGCTTCCGGCAGGAACCAATCACGATATTCCGCCATGTCGTCGGCTACCGATTGTAAATGGTGAATCACATCTTGGACTCCCGGATCGTTCTGACCTTGTCGGGCGTTGGTATAAAAGATTTCCGGCATTAATGCGGGCGGAGGAGTGTGGGGTAGATTGGGGTGCTGTGCCAATTGGGGATTTGCGTGTTTCATTTTTTCGAGAATCATTTGATCGGCCATGCTTCCAAATACCTGCGCCGCATCGAGTAGTTTTGTTTTGGGTTTGACGAGATCCACCTTGTTGAGTACAATGGAGAATTTGGTAGAGGCGGCATTCCATAATAGAGACCGAATGGTATCCGTGTAATCCGGAGACAGTTTGGCCTTGGCGGCATCAATCACTACCAAGGAATGATCCACGTTTCTCATGTGTCCTTTGGCCGTCATGGCCAGATCTCGACCCACCTTGTCATTGACGTGGGTCATAAAGCCAGGGGTATCGCAAAAGACCAACTGCGTCGAGTCTTGTGTTCGGACGCCCAAAATTCCATTGCGAGTGGTGTGACGTTTGCGAGAGACCGCCGCCACTTTGGTACCCAAGAGAGCATTCAATAACTGAGACTTGCCCGCATTCGGATACCCCACAATAGCTATATCCAACCGTTTCTTGTTGTGCGGTTCGTCGCCATCACTGTCGCCGTCTTCCAAGTCAAAATTAGTATTCTCCAAGACTTCAAAAGGACGGGGATCTGTAGACACGCACCGCCTTTCTATTATAGAGATACCGTTGCTAGGAGATGCTAATGAACGCCTTATCCTTGGCCGACACCTACTAATCAGAAGTAACGGCTTCATCATGGTCGGTGCTTTCAGGATCTTTGGGTACAGTCGTACATGTACCAAGAAAGATGGGTGGCTGCAGCTTTGTCTCATTTATTTATAAGCCAGCGAGTTGGTATGCTCAAACTTTCAATCGTGGACCTACTAGGCTGTACCGTACCGGTAGTACTAGTACAGTAGTCACGGTTGAAAAACCTTGAGGCATCATCTTGCCGTCCATCCTCTTCACCAGGAGGGGGGTCCACCGGCAGCAAGAGTGTGGTTCAATACATCTCGTATTCTGTCTGTTTCGAGACCCAGTCCGCAACATTCATCAGCACGACACGGAAAAGGTCCCTTTTCGTCGAAACGATCCCAATAGCTCGTAACAGTGGAAACGGACCCGAAGAGTTGGTTTCCAAAAAACGGTGCGGTTGAAACGATCCCTCGCGGCGCGTTTCTTCTCGGCAAATCACTGCGCTACTTGCACTCCTCTGGTTTGGAGCTCACAAATTGGAATCTGCTTTGCAAATCAACATGTAGTGGGCACCCAGAGCCTCCCTGGCTCTGATAGGTGTACCGCATGACTCTTCGCTTTGGACATCGATGTAGGTGTGAGCAAGATGGTCCACAAAAGGACTGGTTTGTAGCATTCTGCCAAGAGACTCATCCGCAACACTCCAATGGAGGTTGGGCGAGGTGGTGAGCTGTAGGCAATGGAGAAGGCAGCACTCAGCGGTGGTGCTGAGTGACTGGTACTTCTTTCTGTTCCATGTGGAGAATGTGTTGGAAATCCTGGTGAGGTGATTGTGGGTTGGCTTCGGTGGAGGGAGTCCAAAGCAACTCTGAGGTTCTGGCGCCCCCCAAGTGGGGGTGATACTGGTTCCCGAGAGTAAGTGAAAATGACACTTGTTACCAATATTCACTCTGGGATTTAAACTCCGTGCAATAGTGAGCCTGTGAGATCCATTCTGCTACCAGGCGTGACAGGAGCAGATTGGATTCTCATGTATAGGTTACAGCGGCACAGTGACGGCAGAGTGAACCTATGGGATCATTCTGCGGCTGTGGGGCACAAAATGCTCAGACAACAATAGTAGCTTCCTTTTTGTGAAACATCATAATTTCTATAGAACCAAGATCAATCAAAACAAACAATCACTTTCTTAGTCTTTAGTCTTCCTTCTACCGGTAGGTATAGCTAATGGCATTGTAGCACTGTTAGGGTTCAATCAATGAATCAAAATCATCTCTTTCCTCGTGTTCTGCTTTCCGCTGTCCAAATCCCAAATGTCGGACGGGGTTTTCGTCTGGGGACAGGCGGAGGGTGCTTGGATTGACTCGACGCGACTCGATGATGCTCTAACACTATCCTCGACCAATGCAAAGGAACGATGCAGTCGAATACAAGAGTGGCTTGTCAATGCTATGTTTTCCGTCACGGGTGACAAATTGGATCAATGCCTCCTTGGTTCTCTTGAGATCTTCTTCCGAGGCGTCATGGGTGTTGCTCATGGGATTCTGGCAAATGACCTTCCACAGATAGTCAAAATCGAATAAAATAGTATGCAAGCCACCATGAATCTCCACCTTTTTGAGCTGGTATTCCTCGGACAACATCTTGGTGGCACCCTCTCGAGAGGACCAATTGGCAATCGATTGGAAGTTTGCCAAATTGGGATCAATCGTTCGGCTGGGTAACTGGAAGGCATCTTGCAGACTCACTCCAAACCCTTGATCGGCCAGAAAATCTGACAGGCCAAATTGCCAAGAAGCAATGGCCACCACTCCTCCCTCTTTCTTCAAGACACGTTGAATGGCTTGGCATGCAGCTGCTTGATCCGGAATCAAAAAGACACCAAACAGACTGACCACCATGTCCACAGAACCATCGGATATTCCCTCCAATTTGGTACCATCTTCTTGTTGAAAGACCAGCTTGGTCTGGAAGCTCTCGCTTGGCGGAACGACAGTCTCCTTGGCCTTAAGCATCATGCCCTCGGAATGATCCGACGAGATGAGTGTCTGACCTGGGACACCATTGGGAAATTGTTGCAAGTAGGCTTTGGCAAACGCCCCCGTACCACAGCCAATATCCAGAATAGTTTTGGCTTTCAGAATGTCCTCTTTGAGCAGGGTTACCAGATCGGCTCCATGCAGTTCCGTCAAACGGGCGGAGTGATCGGAATAAAGATCCGCTTGTTCCGACCACTTGTCGGCATTGTTGTGGGATGAAGCAGTCATGGCAGTACTGCTGAACCTATTCAGAGCTGGGTGTCGGAAGGGGAGGGCGACCTGGGGGGTAAAGCCTTGCACAGAGACAGCAATTGTAATGTGTTTGGCAACGAGGGATGCAAATAAGAAAGATCTCATGTTGTGAGATCGTTCCAGCTCCTGAGAGAGGACTTTTGCGATCTTTGATGGCATGGCTGGTGTCTCGTTGACAGGCTCTTTGGAATTCACAGGAATTCTTCCCTGTTCGTTCCTCAAGTCTTACTTGAAGAGAGAGGGGCCCATCGGTAAGCCTGCTTAGCCTGGAATTGATCGATTCTTCCATTCCTCGTCCTCGGGATCTTTGCCCTTGCTTGACCAGCCCATGTACGGGTAGCTGGGTACCTTGTTGCCTTCGAGGGGCCCAGAATATTGGATTATTCTTTCCCCTTTGATCATTCGCATACAGCTACAGGTAGCTAGGCTCTAAAAGAATGCTGATAGGGAATGATAATTGTACATGCACGTATTTAAATGAGGAAAAGTTAAAAACCAAGTCTTCTACGCCAACGCCAACACAGCCAGACTTCCAAGAAGAATACCGCCGAGGTTGCGGGCGACGGCGGAGGATGGTGCTTCATCGCTTGGATCATTGTTTTCTGCTTCTTCTGTCAACACTTCAAGCTCTTCTTCTTCTTCGGGTGTGACTGGTTCTTCTTCCATTGTGGCTCCTTCCTTGCAAGCTTCCAAGGCACGGGTCACTCCACCGACGACATACGTGTTGTAAGAGGCGCGGTAATCTTGGAACCATTCAGCAGCCAAGTCACAACGTCCACTGTCAATCAAGGCGCGGTAAATTGGTGTGCAGTACGCTGTTCGACCTTGCTCGCCCAACCAGACATAGGCTGGATCCAGCACGGCATCGTAACCAACTTTGATCCCCAAGATATACCACTCAGTTTTCACGGACGGGTTGCTGCTCTCAGTGATGGCAAGGTCATTGTCAACGTACTCCACGAGGTTAACCGTAACTCCTTCAGAGTTGGCCAGCTTTTGAATGAAAGCAAGTTGCTGCTTGGGATAGAACTCGTTGTAGTCGGAGAAAGACAAAGGACTTGACGTCGTATTCAGCTCAATGTATTCCAAAGCAAGTGCATCGGCATCCTCAAGTGCGGTAGTCGCCACGTCAATCTGCACCGGTCCAAGGCCGGGCTCAAATACCCATGTGTCCCACAAGCTGAGTTCGATCAGCTTCGTGGCATTTTCGGGGAAGGTCTGCTCGAGCCATCCATAATACCACTGCTGAAACTCTTCCTGGTCAATGGCTTGTTGGGTAAACTGTCTAATGTAAGCACGAAGCATTGTCTGCATGGCTTGCTGTCCCAAGAAGCTCTCGATGTAGTACATGAATTGGGATCCCTTCTCGTACGGGACACCCGAGAACGAGTTCTCCGGATCATCGTCTCCAATATCAGGAAACAGTGAGGAGTAAGTGTTGTTTAACCCGTAGTGCCCTACCATATCGTCGTAGTACATAGAGGTATTGCCTGTGGAGTAGTCAATCTTTGCGAATTCTTCTCCGTAGTATGAGCCCAAGATCTTGCGTTCCATAAAGACGTTCATTCCCTCGTTGATCCAGAAGTGATTCCAATTCTCTGCGAAAGCATGATCGGAAGACGTTTAGTTAGCAATCAGTACATTAGTGAGTGACTCCGCGCGGGAAGAAGTGAGCAGGAGTAGCGATGAAACTCACTGCAGCCAACATCGTTCCCAAACCATGAGTGCGTAATCTCATGAATGGCAGTGGACAGCATGGACTTGTCACCCGTAATCAGTGTGTGAGAGACAAGATTGGCGTTGATGTGTTCCATACCACCCCAAGGGAAGCTCGGGGGCATGACCATGATGGAGTAGTTACCCCAAATGTATGGAGTCAAGTATGCCTCTGCCTCGGCCAAGATTCCTGGCAAGTCTTCAAATTCTGCGGCCGCAGCTTCAATGTAAGGCTTCTCTGCAAAGACCTTGATTCGACCACCCAAGTCTACCATTTCCAAGTCACCCACGACGAGAGCAATCTGATAAGATGGGATCTTTAAGGCACATTCGACTGCAGGACGGAAGGGGATTCGATTCAGGGTAAGTAATAAGTGCGCAGGGGAAATCCTAAGAGGTCATCGCTGTTGCACTCACAAGTGGTTGTAGTCCAAGTTTCATTATAGGCGACCCTTCCTGTTTCATTGCCGCTCATACTGACTACGTATCCATTTGGAGCCGTGATGCTGGCGTTGTAGGTGATTTTCTGGCTGGGAGTATCCATCATAGGTGCCCAGTCACGGCAAAAGTTGAGCTGACACAAAGAGTAGACGAATGGTTTTTCCTTTCCTGCTGTCTGTTCCGGCGTCATCCAACTCAATGCTGTGGTTTCTGGAAGAGAACGGTAGGTAAGACGAAGGTAAAAATTGGTGCCATCCAGCATGGCTGGCACGTTGATTCCCACAGCCTTGCCAGTGTTTGAGTTGGGAGTGGAGATGTTGAAAGCCACCTCGAGAGGCTCATCCGCCAACAGGCCCTGGCGACCAACTGCTGTCGAAGCGTTGGCACTCGGATCCACCCAGTACTCTGCCTTGCTAACTTCCACAGCATCCCTAATGACGTATAGTTTGCCAGAGGCATGTCAATAGGTTGCATCAATTCAGGATAAGATCTCAACAGCTCAACTTACCAAACGTCCATGAAAACGGTGGTTGTGTCAGCTTCCAGCACGGTCAAATGATGGGTAACAGTACCAAACGTAGTCTGAGTTTCGAAATCTACAAAATAGTCCATTTCCAAGTGGCTAGGAGCAAAGGCGTCCACATTGGAGGAACTGATAGATTCAGTATGTTCAAGAGGATGGAAGGGTGGAAAAGCGAGGAGTGAAAAGAACGACGAGGTTAGAAAAGCATGGTCAGTATCCTTGGAGAGTTGATTGGCGCACCTGGAAGGATCTTGGGTAGATCCTGGGGTTCCTGGCTTTGACAGGGCATTGGAGGGAAACCATGCAAAGCCCACAACGGCGACAACGAGGCTCGAGAGTTTCATTGTGACTGACGTTGACTGTTTGTACTTTTATCGAAGCTGGTACTTGGTCAGCCCAGATTATGAATTTATGAGACGCGTCCCAAAACGATCAATGATTTCGTCTTCTCAATCAGACGAAGAGAAATCAAGGAACTCGTGTTGGAAGCGACTGGACCAAAGTATCTTATTGAAAGGTAAGCTTGGGATCTTCGGGATCCGGATGTGATGGGTTGATGGTTGATGGATGTTGCGGCAGTAACGTGCCAAAGGTGAGTTCTTATGCCAAGAACTTCGGGCAGGAAAGCTGAGCACAAGCAGATGCCCAGGCGAGTCCCTTCGAGCAAGCATGAACGAAGATTGCGTTAGATCGCTGTTGATCACCATCTTCTTGTGGGCTTGGGTGTTCCTGCGCATGAGCCCACAAAGCTGGGTTTCTTCCCACCACGAATGATCGAGTCACACTTTGAAGAGGATGCCAGTCACACTTACGTTTTGTTGGAGTCAAATCGTCAAATCACACGGTCGAGACTCAGTCGAGTCGCAGTCACCATTGTACAGCATTGACAAAATGACGGATCGGCGATGGTTCCCTCGGAGATACGACTGTACCCACGGGCCAGTCTCAGCATCGACGGCTATTGAATAGCCCTTTGTGCTTCGGACGGCAAAGCTACCACAATGCAAGCAAGATGGTATTTAGGATGAGACAATGAATTTATCATCTCTACTCCAAAGCGCTTTGTTCCCAGCTCTGCTACTCTTGCAGGTTGCGAACGGCGACAATGATACCAACACTATTCAGCGAGACAATACTCCGCGAAACAGTAACGCAACCTTGAATGGACGACGCATTTGCCCAATGACTCCTCCCATTAACGTCAATTTTACGCTATCTGAAAAGAACATGACGGATATCTATGAGGCATCGAAGCTCTGTAAATTGATATACCCCGATTTCTCTGGTTACATCCAAGGGCAAGTTGAGGAACAACGAAAGAACTACGAGATATTTGACGCATGGGGCGACTTGAATGATCAAGCTGCAGTGGCCAAGACAGCAACTGGAGTATGCCACGCTACTTTTGCTGGTTCCAGTTGTTGGAATCCCTTGGATCAATTTCAGAATCTGCATCCGGGGCCCAAACAGATGACAGACAACTGCTGGATCCGCAAAGGTTACTTTGATGCCTACAACACATCGTACAAAAATTCGTTTCGGAGATCTTTGGATGACTGCATGTCTTCTTGTGGAACAGAGCCGTGCGAACTTATCCTATCAGGATATTCCCAAGGTTTGTTTTTGTAGTCGCGATACACTCTCAAGATGTGGGGAAATGTTGTTGGACCGTGTCCTCACTACTTGAACACCCGTATCCCTCAATCTGCTCAATCTGCGCAATATAGGCGGTGCCGTGGCGGTGGTGGCATCCATGGACCTCAAGCACTACAACCCCTTCGTCATTACGTTCGGAGCGCCTCATCCCTTTCTTCTGTTTTTGGGAGGTTGTCAAGACTTCGATGACTCAAGACACTTTCAGTTTGTCAATGTATTTGGAGGTTTGTACGATCGCGTGGCTCAACAAATCAATCCGTACTTTGCCACCCACCTAGGCAAACTACTGTTGTTGGACGGAGAAAGCCACATGATTGGCCATCCGAGGGAGGTACGGAAACGACGGGGGCCGCGAAGCTATGTACCGCACATACTTTACTTTGACCGAGTTGCCGATATATACAATCGTGGATGCTTCCCTGTTTTGGTGGGAGGTTGGGTGTCTGGTCATGACTGTAACTATGACGACGAGTGTGATTCCGGAAAGTGCGCCCGGAGGGTCTGTCAGCACCAATGACAGAGTTTGTGGTTGTGACCGTTCCTTAGACGACAACAGTAGGCTTCATTCGATTGATTTCCAGCATTACGAACGATGCAAACAGCAAAACAACAATCCACTCAGACCGATAAATGTATTTGCTTGTGAAGAGCCGGAATTCGGGATTGCAACGAAACGTACTGGCAAGGATACCTACCGTACCGGTATGAATGGAAAGGCATGCTTTGGTTCAGCCAGGCTATGCAACACACGTGAGTCAAGTCACAGTGTGGGAGCTTCAAACCTCGGAATATGTACAATCATCATTTTTTAAAGCTTCGGTTCAGCCATTTCCACTGGATTGCAGCCAACTAAACTTTTTAAAACCTTTCCGCCAAACGCACATCAAAACTCGCGAAGCATCGCTCGAAGATCGATATCCTCTGGAAGAGTTTTGGTGAAAAATTCTCTGCATGCTGGCGTCTCCGTGCGAAATTCGATTGGCCGTATCTTCGCTGCAAGAACATCACTATTCACTACTTTGCTTCTGCTTCGAGGGTACTGTAGCGATACAGTGGGTTCTCAGGCCAGCGTTGTTGTAGATTGGCAAAAACCAACGATTGTTCGGGCCGTCCACACCGCAAGGGATATTGTATTGTAGAGGTCTCCTTCCTCCTTCCGAAACGAACTGTTGCTGGGGCGCATTGACACTGACTATTTATTTTCTTCCGAAATAAATGTTGGCATCATATTTGGCCTTTTTCAGGACGAGCCACGAGAATGATGACAGAGAAACCTGTGACTGTGGCTCCGTTTGCAGCCACCAGCCAAGGAGGCGTCTATCAAGCTACATTCATGCTGGTAGCTAGAGTGGGACAGGGCGGTCTCTTGCTAGCTAGGGCGGCAGAGTTATCTATTCTACGGAAGTCGGCGGGGGTCGTTATCCACAGAAAGACTTTCGCTCGACACGGTATACAGTCGTACCGTAGTTCATCTACAGTGACAAAAAGTCGTCGTGGCAAGTTTATGTACAGTATGACCATACACACACACGCACCAAGAACCAGTATACACCGAGGAAGACGCAAACTGTCAGCTGCCTTCATCGATTGGTCTATCAGTTGCTACCTAGCAATCCAACGTCCAGCGAGAAGAGGAGAAAAGCTCAGCAAACGTCATCCACTTTTATTCTCTCATCCATCCCTACTGTACTGCAGCCAGCAAGAGTAAAGAAAGCGCAGAAGGAAGGTGCCAGCTGTGGCTTGATGTCGAATTGAACGTTCGGTGGTGCATGGCGAACCCAAATGAATAGTCTAAGCATGCAGCGCTCGAAGCTCCAAGGAACGGCGAAGTTGCCCTCTGGTCAAGCTATGGTGGTCCCGAGCGCCGACAGGAAGCGACCCAAAGCCTTTCACAGTCGTCAGCATATCAGCTTCTCGGAAAGCCCACAAATTCGATCAATTGACGCGAGAGGATGAAAGCCATGATTGACAAAACAAAGAGAAACAATGTTGCCTCTTTAGAGGCAGCAATTCCGCTCAATGACGACGGTGGCTTCATCCCGCTTCAACTTCCACTGGAAGAAGGAGAAGGGTTGCTCTGCCTGGGAGTGCCGCCTAATTCCTGTTACCTTGAATCGTTTGAAAGCTGCATTGATGCGGATTCCGTCTACGGGGACTTGCCTCGTCCCGCCTTCTTGCCAGGATGCTGTCCTGTATCTGGGCCTGCTGAAGGTGCTAGTAATTGTCAGGAACTCGTGGAGGGCTTCTGGCATGGCGACTTTGCCTTCAAGTTTGAAGCCGACGTTCCCAAGACAACCAAGGATACTTTGTCTATATGTGCCTGGGTCCGAAGCGAAGAATCGGAAGATATCAATGCTGCAGTGAAGCTGGTATTTGGCTTTGAGAATGGAAGGACCATCTTTCGTCATGTCTTCAGCGACCGTATTCAATTCCAATTGTCCAAAGAAGAGCTCCAACTCTTGGCGTGTCGAGTGCTTCATCAGTTTCTTCGCCAGTTTGGCTGGATGTTGCCCTGGACGTTTTTGAGTGCCATGTTCAGCACTCTTTCCTTCGTGTTGGCCACCAAGACTTCCAGATTAAGCGAGCTTTTGGATCTGTGCATCGTCAGGACTGATTTGATGCTTCATATTATCGCAGGCTTCGACGATGCCAAAGCTATTGGAGCCGCCATGTCTGAGATTGGACGAGCTCTAGAGTCTGCGGGACGCTGCAACCAGGCCGGGGACCTATACGTGGAGATTGCCAAGGAATACATTGCGTCCAATGTGGACTTGAAGGCCCAAGCCTACTCAAGTGCTGGAAAGGCGTTTTTAAAGGCGCAGGCTTGCGATGCCGCTCTGCAACATCTCTTGATCGGTCTGCAGGTTTTGGCATCCGGCAACGCGTTGGAATGGAATAGCCAGGCGTCAGCCGGTATCATTGCCAATCTGGTATTGCTGCATCAGGAGGTGCACACCAAGTCACTTGAGAGCAGGAGGGGCCAAGCGACTCATGACACGACGTCGCTTACAGACGAGGAGAAACTCTTCCCGGCCGTGGCTTGTCTACTTGTCAAGGCCGGGTTCGATCCACTTGACCAGCCGGCTGCTGCTTTTCGGATCCAAGGTCAAGGTCAAAGCAGCATGTGCATGGACAGACTCAAGCCCGAACTAAAGAAAAGGAAGCAAGCTAGACAGTTGCTGATGCGCCTGTTTCGCAGTGGGTCGGTGGATTCCTACAAGGACGGACTCGTGTCTGCAATGC